ATTGTCTCATAATGAAGATCTTAAATAAACTTGAATTAATGATGTTTGACTGGTTAATCCCTGCATCCATTTTATGCCGATTGTCCAAGTCACATTTATTTAATTAGTCATATCATTAGGAATTATTGTTATGTACTGCTGGAAAGTACTGAAAAAAATGTCATAACAAATCGGCTTGTGTATATATACAGCACTTTTCTGGTCTACCGGACACTCAAAACGCCTTCTCTGTCTGGTCTGGTTTTCCATTATACTGTCTTACTTGTCATACTTGTTATGATTGTGAAGCTAGTATTAAATTGCATTCTGTGTGGTGACACAGAGGTCTTTTAAAAGTCTTAAATGTAACTTAGTGAACCCTGCGAAGACCCTGGAGAGGGGTTGAGGGCTTTAAAAGATGTTTTTATTCTGCAGGAGAATCTGTTGACATCAGCGATGGAGACACGGAGAGCGTGGCGTTAACGGAGTCTTCAGGCCAAACGCTCCGAGAGAAGATGGTGTACATGTCCGTCGGGGATTCTCACCACAATCAAGGGAACCACGGTGAGTCCAAAGATCTAACGAGCGGGGATGACTGTCATGAAAGTAAACGTCACTAGTTTTTTGGTTTTGTACATGTTGGGCTCATCTACAGGTGGGTCCAAGGTGACTGATGAGGTTTATATGGAGGTGGTGGTAGGAGGCGAAGAGCCAGTAACTCACGACCGCTCGTATGACAGCGTGTCTCTAAGCAAGGACTTCATGCCTGTGGCCTGGGCAGCTGCTTATGGTCAGCACCCCTGTCTATTAAATTGCTTTTAAAACAACACTGGAAGCCTGTGCATCACCCACGTCTCTGAGTGTCTTGGCTTAAGCTTTGCAGAAGCTGGTTTTGTTTATTTTTGCGTTAAAGGCATTCTTTTGGCCTCACAGGTGCAGAGGATAGCGAGAGTTGTGAAAACCGAAACGGTGCAGCCAGCGCACTGCTGCACATCGATGAATCTGACGGCGTCGACGATATCAATAGACAACGCAACAAGAAGAGACGGTCAGAGCCTCGCCAGGTACAGACAGGTAAGAGCAACACAGAGGGAATGAATATGGACGTTTCCTTTTATAGATTTTAAATGCAAATAGTAAATGATGAGCTATAGCAGAAAGCATAACAACTGCACTTTTGCATCACAGTCCAAACACTACCAAAAAACCCAGCTCTATGTAAGTGTGTGCAATGTTCACGTTATCAAGTCCACTGAAACC